GGCAGTGCTTGTCCTGTGCTCTCCTTCCTCCATCAGGAGCACCCCAGGATACCCCCAGGTGCAAGCAGCAGGCTATGGGAAAGGTAAGGATGTCTAAACACGTGACAGGCGGTTATCCTCTGGCAAACTCCCTCAAAGTACACTCCTGCATCTCCTTTGGAAAAACAAATTAAAAAAAATGAACATGAGAGAACACAGTAGCTTGATGACAAAATAATGTTAGGTTTAGTGTAGATGAAGCCACAGTTTCATCTGAGGGTTTATGGGGGCCTTTTTCTTTGGTGGTCTTGAATTACCCTTTTCTGAATGCTCTTATGAAGACCTAGAGCATGGTTGGATCACTGCAATTTTTAAGTGCGAGAGCCTCGTTCCCTGATGCTCATCCATTGCTGTGTTCCACCACCTAAACTCCAGGCAGAAATTCCCCTTTTCCTGTCCTTGGCAGTTGAAATTCCAGAAAACTTCCTGCTTTTGCTGGCACAGTGACCCAATCGCAACTTGCCCAAAAAACCCCCAGTGAGGTTCGTAGGCGAATGTCATTCATTCATTTACTTTTAATCCTTGGACGTGGCGGTTTCTGGCAGGCTCCTCTGTGAAACGGCTGCATCTCCTGGGTCAAAGCCACGTGATCCTCATGGTGGGCAAAGGAGGTGCATGTGGAGGAAAGAGGTGCCCCGTTTCAGCGCATCTCCCGGCCGGGCACGCAGCCCTGCCACTCTAGGCAGCCCCTTTCCTGATCCAAGCACGGGCAGCCTCAATAAAAGCAAAGAGATAGCAGCAAACTCACATTACAGTTTAGGTTGCTGCTTTTCCTGCTTCTGAACGACTCTAGTCATAGCTACGTTTGCTTTTCTTTACAGAGCTGCACCCTGCAATCCTTAATCTCACAATATGCCTTGGAAAGGAAGGGCAGCTCGGGTCCTGCCATGGGGGAGGATCATGGGAGGTGGAACCCATGCGGGTGGCAGGATACAGCAGCAGGACAGGGCCCCCTGCGACCCATAAGAGAGGGTTAAGGGGTTGGCAGGGAGCAAACCACTAGAGGAGGAGGTTGTTCAGAAAGGCACCTCTGCTAATGCTCCCTCTGCTCTCATGAACTGGCTGCTGTTGAGAATGGTTATCAAGAGTGTGTTCTCTCAAGATGGTGCTGAAAACCGTCTATAGGAAGGCTGAGATTGTCTGTGGTGTTGTAAGAAAGGCTGGGCGACGCTGGCTGACACTTGGGCTCCGAAAGGGCTGCCCGTAGCTCTCCCTTTCTCTCTCGTGGGAGGCAGGAGGAAGGACACGAGCTCACAGTGCTCAGGCTGCTGCTTCAGACCTGCCACCAAGGCATCCCGGCCACCTGTAGAGCAGGGACAGCTTTAAGCCCTGCTTATCTCGGCCTCCTTCTCCCTGCTTTCTTCCAATGGCCAACCTAGGCCCAAAGCAGGGGGGTGATGTTGGGGCAGAATGGGGAAACAGGCAGACAGCTAATGTTGAAAACAGTTTTGCTGTGCTTAGGCCCTGCAGTTTTTTCTTTCCCCCTATTGTTAAATGTCATTGAATACTGGCAAAACAGGAAATTGCTTCCTCCAGCCTCTGACCCAGCGAATGCAGCGCAGCTGCTCGTTGCTCAGAGCCGCCTCCACAGCACCCTGTTTGTTCCTAGAAAGTAGCTGGGCATTTTGAAGGAGCATTCGGGAAGAGCAACAAAGCTGGAATAAGCAGGTAAACTTAGCAGCTCATAAAAGAAGGGACTTGCACTGGAAGTATCTGGTGGGAACAGTCAAAACCGTCTGCTTTCCCAAAACTGGGGCTTGTGGAAATGAGAGCAATAACGTCCGAGCCAATCTCTGTCACCTCAGTCATCTCGTGACCAGCTTAATTGTGCCTTTGTTGTGCTGGGGCTCTCGCCTCAGACAGCCTCGCTGTGCAGCTATTGTTTCCCAGGCTCTGCGGCCTGTGTTGTGATCCTCGAGCCTCAGAAGTCCAGCCAGGTCTTATTTGGCTGGGAGGCCTCCAAGGAGACAGGAAGCGGTGCCGGTGGGTTGGTGGGTGACCCCTCTCTTCCTGCGAAAGCGACACCCCAGCGTGCCAGGGGACCGGCGCTGCCCGGCCTTCTGCTAAGGAGAGCTGGGGAGAGGACATCAAAGACTCCGTGGCTCCGTCCGTAATTACACATCCCCTAGTGTCCACTGATAGCAGGGACAGCCTCGTCCTCTTTAATGACACTCTGTTGACCTAGAATTCCCTTTGATTTCTTTTTTTTTTATTATGGTCTGATATTTCTCATTCTGTCCCCTAAATGCTTTCATTGGGAAAAAGAAAAGGGATCTCTTGTGGATTTTTTTTAGATAGCACTTCTGTGTTTCTGAAAGTAGGATACATCAATGTGAAGGGAATGATGCTCAACCCAATCTCTGTCACCTCATTACTCTAAAGCTCCAATTTTAATTAGTGCTTTGCACAGCTTTTACCCAGATATTCTGTGTCTGCTGAAAAATCCGTGATATAAAATGAAGTGATGACTCACTACTCTCTTTATGCTGGAGGGATGAACTGTGTGGTTTGGTAGATACATTTCTAGAGCACCCAGAAGGTGCATGACATTCTTCAGCCCTCGTGCTGCACCACAGAAGTTCACAGATGACTTGCAAAAACCAACTGAAACCAGGACAGAATTTCATATCACAAAAAGCCATTTTAAGCTAATAGCAAAGGTTTAAGTCTACTGCTTACAGTTTGCAGCTCCAAAGACAGAACTTATGTTAAGTACTGCCAAATACTGGCAGTGTCTTTTATGCCGATGTGAATGTGATGTTTTATTTTCACAAAGTCTTTGAGATCCTTGGGCACAAGCTTCTCCGCCAAGTGCGCAGTGCTGCTATAGGGATAACTTTGGCAGTCTCCCAGCACTAGCTGCCCTTGCGTGTCCCAGCCCCTGTGGCTCTTTGGAGCACGTGGTGCTCTGGCTGCAGTTCTGCCAGGCCCTCTCTGCGGCCGGGAAGTCTGGCAGTGCGTTGCAGCTGTCCTCCTAAGGAGCGGTGGAAAAAGTCAGCAACATGGGAGATGCTTCCTGGGATGTGTGTGGAACCCTGGCACACTCACTCCTGCTTCATACGCAGGTGAGAGACACCCACCTGGGGAGCCCTATTTTATCCCAGTGATCCTCAAAGATATAAATAAGACACTGAATCCTCAGTTCACGGCTTTAGGAATTTGCATTCTGCTCCAGCTGAGAGAACTAAATAATGAGGCAAAACTATCAGGATATGCCTCTAGTCCTGGAGGGGATAATGGGAGGTCACTGTGATTTGACCAGTCGCATGTCTCTGTGTGGGGAGCTGTGAACACTTTCTGCTTGATTTGTGTTCCCTTCCGTAGGTGAGGACCGTGTTCGTCTGCGCTCCAGCCTGGAGCTCTTGCTGCTCGTTTCTGCGGTCGCGCACTGCCTGCACTCTGCACGGGAGGAGCTCGTGCAGCGTGAGGCTTCTTCCCGGTGGCTGCAGGAGGCGGCTCCTGCCTCCGAGCTGAATTTAGAAGGCGCTGCAGCCGCAGCAGCAGCAGCAGCCACAGCAGCAGCAGCGGCAGCAGCAGCTGCAGCAGCAGCAGCGGCAGCAGCAGCAGTCACAGCCGCAGCCGCAGCAGGGCTCTGCTCAGCTGCAGCACTGCGCAGGTGGCAATGCTCAGAACGGGCTGTTCTTTACTACTTCCCTGTCCTCGTTCGTAGCGGTAAATGAACCATCAAAACACGGCGTGCGTGTCCCAGGCTCTTTTTTTTATTGTTATTTTTTAAGCCCGCGGCACCGCGGGCTGCACAAGCAGCCTGTGCAGCGCGGGGCTGCCTGGCTTTCTGTCAGCCCTCTGTGAGAGAGGCTGCCCCAGAGGCCCGCCACAAAGCCATGAGGCACCAGTGCAGTGAGTACATAACTACTCCAGGCCTTCCGTGACAACTTAGAGAACCTTTCTAAAATCCGGATGTACTTCAAATCGCTGGAGTCCCCTCCCTTCCCAACACTCAGTCTTTTGGTGTCTCACTCCATCTCCACTTTGTTTTTTACCATCAGAGGAAAGCACTGCACTGGGGTTTGAAGAAACAAACCTATTTTCCGGTCTCCCTCACAAAATACGAATCCCAGGTAACATTGCTATTGCTAACACAGTGAAAGCCAGCATCTGTTGAGCTCAAGGCAATGGCTAACCTGTCTTTAAAAATAAATAAATAAAGTAAATAAAGCTGTATTAAATAAAATAGGTATTCAATAAGGCAAACAACACCAACTGAAAATGTCTAGAATGGAGCTCAGAGTGTATTCACTGGACCCTAAGACACAAGGGAAGACTCCTGTGTTTCTCACAGAGTTTTTCCTTGGAAACTGGCCTTCCCACCTGCGGCTTACCAGCTTTCTGTGTACATCCCGGTCGCAGAATGGTCTTTCTAAAATCACTGTTGACTTCTCTACCTGAATCTACCAGAGAAACTGTCAGAATGTCTTTTCCTTCCATTGTTCCTGCCCTAACAGATGAATAAATCTGCCTTGTGCACGTCTATCTTACTCACTGGCTCTCTTATCATCGTTTCCTTGCGTGGCCTTTATTCCTTTTCACAAGGACCACCTATAAAGATGAGTTTAGGTGCAATTTTTGGGTTGACATTCACCTGTACCTAGGGAACCTGCTGCTTGCTTTGCTGGGAATCCACCTAGCGCTTGTTAAAAGAGCGAGTGTTCGCCAGCCTTGTGTGGATTTGCTTCTCTCTTTTCCCCACACACAACTTGCCGGTGTTTCGGTAGCCGTTCCAGGGCTAATTGGCTTTCTGTGCCAGCAGTTTGGGTAAACGCTGGCTCTAAAAGGCTGGTGAGGCCAGGGAGGCAGTGCGAGCTGCCCCTCTGTTTTTAGGGGGCTTATAGGGCGTTGTGGGGGTGATAGGGGCATTTGCAGCAGCACAGGCTCTTCCCGCCGTGCGCAGTGACACCTTGCCGAGCTGTGCCTCAACCCACACATCAAAGCGGAGCCGCGGAATGACCCGCTTGCCAATTCTGGCCCATTATCTGTTATTAGCTCCTCCGGAGGCCGGGGGCGAGCAGTGGGTAATTTACAGTGTGTTACCGCACTTCTGCTCTCACTGTGGTGTGCCACAGCTGAATCTGTGATAATCCAGAATGAGAAGCAAGTTTTTTTCTGGCTAATTCACATAGGTCGTTGCCAACCTCTACTAAAGTTGATCAGGAATTTAATTTACTTCTAATTTTGTTTTTCTGCTTCCTGCCCCTCCCACCCCATGTAGCAAAGCAGAAGCTTTCGGCGCTGTTTCTCTCCAGTACATGTTTGCTTCCAGGAAAACTTGGAAGCGCAGCAACAACCTCCTCTGGTCTCTGCCAGGTTTCCTTCAAGATTTAATGATTCAGGTGGCTTCATTTACTAAATTTTTGCCCAAAAAAAAAAAAAAAAAAAAAAGATTTCTCTACTGACACCATAAAGCAGAGCAAACAGGACGGCTGGTAGGAGACTTATTTTTATTGCCTGGCCCTAGTCACATGTCAGATCAGGTTACAAAATACTCGTACCCCTGCCAGCTCGCAGGATCTACCAATTCCTCTGGCTACTGTTTCAATCCAAGATTTCTTTCTTTTTTTTTCCTCCTTTTTTTTTTTGTTTCTTTTTTTCTATCTTTTTTTTCCTTTCTTTTTTTTTTTTTGCTGCTGGAGGGGAGGAGGGGAGCTGGAGGGGAGCAGGGCAGGAGGGGAGCTGCTCCGCTCGGGCAGCTGGGAGAGCAGCGCGCAGGGATATCCTGCCTGGGAGTGTTCCTGTAGTGTCTGCTCAGCACTTTTTCACCAACTGAACAGTTTATTCCCTCTGAGTGCTGGCAGCCCTTGGCAAAATGAAAGCAATGTCAGCACTCCCCTGCTCTGTCTAGTTTTTTGGAAGAAAAGCAGTAAGAAAGTTCCATTTTCACCTTGTTTGCATGCTGAAGGCTGCTCCACTGATTAAACTCTGCTGTTCCGTATTGGGAAAGCAACTTTTAAGGCATGTGAACACTTTTACAAATTGGATTTCACCAAAATGATTGCCATTCAGGAAGATAAGCTTACAAAAATAAATAATAATAAAAAAAGCTACTGAATTTCTCAGTGAAGGGAATCCAGAAGATTTTGTCCATTAGGGGAGCCATTTTTCTTAGTAACAGTGAGACACAAATATTTTCTGAAAAAAATTGCTCATAAAACAATAAATTTGAACAAGATAAGTTTCACCCAACTCTGATTCAGAGTGCTGTGCCAGAACTGAGCATCAGAAATCCTGTGCTGGCAGTTAACTCCTCCGCTGGTACAGAAGCAGCCCCAGTTATCCCCTGTGAACGAGCAGAACTTGTTAGCTGAAACTGCCAGCGACCCCTCGGGCAGAGCAGTGGCAGTTACAGGATCTGCGCATGTGCGAGTACTCACACTGAGAGATAGTAGAGGCCCTGAATTTGTGACTCATATTTGACTAATGTCAATAAGAACCAAACTGCCAGATCTTGCAGTGAAGATTTGCTCCGTTTTGCTTTTTTTCTGAGGAGCTTGGAATACCAGCCTTCTTAAGACCCTCCAAAGCCACATTTTTCTCAGAGTTTCTGGTGTTATAGATGCCTTAAGTCTGTAACTTCCCACATGTCTGAAATGGATGTGCTATTCCTCCCAGGAGTCACGACAAGTTGTCCCTTGGTTTTCCCTTTCTAGGATCTGTAGCCACTCCATTTGTGGTTTTTCCTTGCTCCTTCCCTCTGAAATCCCTGCTTTCCCTCCTGAAGCAGGAGTTTGTGCTGAAGAGACAGAGACCTGCTTCTTCCCAGATGTTTCCCCTTTGTCCTTTTCTTCAGCTTACGGTAGTATCGAAACCCCTGGTACTAGATATCCCAGCAAGGCCCATCTTTCCTATATAGGTCGATGCCCAAGATCCTGGGAGAGCTGCACAGCTCCCTAGGCTGAAATGGGCATAGTTAGGACTACAGACCCAGAAGGCACCTTAGCAACAAAAACGGTCCCTAATAGATGAGGATGATGATGATTTTCAGGCAAAAAGGAGGAGGAGGGGCAGGAATGGGGCTCCATAGCACTCATGCCACAGGCATTAATGCTTCAAGGCCACACAAGAATCCTCTGGTGAATTCAGGGGTCAGAATTCAGATGAGAGCTTGAATCCCAGTGTTTTAGCTGCGAGACCACCCATCTTCTCTTTTGGCAAGCACGAGTGGAAATGCATTTCTTCCGTGTTCCAGTGTCTGTGATCGTAGCAGTTTCCAAGAGGAGTATGTTGCAATTGTTTGAGCTTTTCCATTTCTGTTCTTCTTTCACAAGTTGTCTATAAAGATTTGCAAAACTACTACATTGTTCTCATTCAGATCTCTTGAAAAGGCAGCCATTCTCTTGGTTTGTGAACAAAAACATCTTTTGTGAGGAGGAAGTGATGACTGCTCCTGCAACTGGCCAGTACGGAAGGAAGGACATGTGAGCAGTAACTTCTTGCGTCCACCTGTCTTGTTGCAGACACAGGTTGTGAGCTTTTAGGGGCAGATACCATCGCTTTCCGTGAACGTGGCCTGCCCTACTGCTGACTATACATACTATGGATGATGTTCCCACAAAATGTCGGTTTTCAGAACGTTTGAATAACATATATCAATAGCATCAAGTTTTATGACGTATTTTGTGCTATGATAAGCAATGTAAATTATTTTTCTCAAGTCCTCCTCTCTCAGCTCTCTCAGAAAAAAAAAAACTACTGGGAGGGTAAAAACATCCACAGCTAACGAAAGGCATTAATTTATTAAACCACTAGACTTGAGTAAACCAGAGCCATGTTGTGATGACCTGCGTCTTAGGGTTTTGTTTCCCTGTGCTTTAGGCCCAGATGTTTTATTTCTGTTTGTGCAATACTAGCACCCTCTACTGCCTCTTGATGAGTCTGCAAGGAAGACTGTAATGAGGGTAAACTCGGGGAAGGGCTTTTGAAACTGATTGGACCCACAGGTTATGACTTGTTTTTATATATGAAGTGACAGCTCCCATGAGAATGGTAACTCTGGAAGATACCCCACGTCTGTCTATAACTGTACATTTTAACTTGTAAATAAAGAATGCTAATTCTTTGGGGACTCAAACATTTCTCAAACTGAGAGTAGGTCTAGGGTCCTGATCATTTTGTATCTTCAGTCTCATCTTTCACCCTGAGCCTAAAGCAGTCAGTGATTCTAGCAAAGGTTAACAGCATGGCTTATGATATGTTCCTGGCCCCGTGTAAAGTCTAGATAAAAGTGACCTGGACGTATGAACTGGCTTGCAAATTTTCCTCCTCACGAGCTGTGCAGTTCTGGGAGAAACAACACTTTTTTTTTTTTTTTTTTTTTTTGGGCCTTTTTTCATATATGAGTGCTGTATGTGTGCCTTAGGAACCCATCAACTCATCAGGGGTTCATCTTGGCAAATCTTTAAAGATGAGTTTTGATCGCAAAGGACAATCCTGTAGTGCCATCACATCGCAGCTGTGGTGATACTACTGCTGGGATAAGGGCTGGATTTTGAAGTAGACCTAAAACCAGGTGTTTTTTCCAAGCTCCCCTCACAGAAGTAGCTTTTCTTAAAAACAAAACAAAAAACAACACAGTGAGACACTATCTTCCGCAGTTAAAGAGTTAGTCAGCAGAGGCCGAGCAGCACCGGAGAAGTCTCTTCCCCTCTGTGCCCGCACACAGCGCCCGCCGCTACATCCGTTAAACGGCCGCGCGGGACCC